TTTTTATTGAGTTATTAAATCAATAAAAATAATATTTTCAAGAATTTTGTTATTTTAAAAAATTATTTTTTGAAAACCATTTTTTATGAAATAAATGGAACCTTAATTTAGTTTAATGAAATGAGTAGCTTTGCTGAAATAAAATCGGTGGGGGTAACGAGGAATATTCCAAGCCATAAATGTGAATAGAAAATCAGTGGAGAGGATCCTCATTTATTTAATAATTTACTTCAGCTTAAGACATAAATAATTTATTTAATAATTATAGAATGATCTATGCGGATTAAAATTTTTTTTAAAGATATTTACTTATAATATATATGCATTATATATTTATAAAAAAATACTTAATAAAAAACTTTGAAATTGTTTTTTTTTTCAAACTTTCCTTTTCCTTTCTTTTTCTTTTTTTTTGCAAAATTTTCATCATTTTTTTAACCTATTTGTTTAATTTTTATGAGATTTTTTTATTTTCCAATTCTGAATTTTTATTTTCTTAACCTTTTTTTTAATTTCTAAATGAATTTTCTGATTTTTATTAAAACAGATAATATTAATAATAAAAAATGAAAAAAAAGAAAACAATTTAAGCAAGCCAAAGCTTATGGGTCCAAGCCCAATATAAAATGGAAGAGGCCTAATGGACAAATCTCAGAACCCATTAACAAACTTTAAAAAGAAAAACCAAACAAACTTTGAAACCCAATTAACGAAACTCGAGATGCAATCAACGAATCCTATATTCAAAATCGAGCGTTAAACCAGCTTCATAAATTTTGAACATTTATACGATTAGTCAAGTTTAATATTGAATTAAAATAAATTTCAATTCAATCTTATAAAAAATTGTTTAATCAAAATTAATTTGAATTTTTTTCAAAAGACCTCTGATATATGGTATGATCGATCCAAGAGATCTTCTAGTTAGAACACGATAACGATACCACCAAACGTGCTGAGTGGCTAGATCTGGGATGAGATCTCATCTGGCAAAGCAAGCTGTCACGTCCAGAAAAAAGAAAGTCAAGCTTTCAAGCTTTCCTCATTCCTCCCTTCTAGCTATTCTTCTTATTTAATCAAATTCCGTCAAGATAAAATCTTCTGCTTTATGGCTGCGATCTTCCCCTTTCGGTTTATAAAGAAGTCTCAACGTCAGCATTTGGAAGGTGTAATAACTGGGTTTGTCGGTTGGTAGATGTCAGTAGTTTAAAATGTAATGCATTTCATTATATTTTATAAAAAAAGTTAATTATTGTTAAATAAATTTAATTTTTATATTAAATTTATTTATATTTTGAATAATTATATTTAAATAAAAATAATTATATATTATAAATGATCATAATTATTTTAATATAGATATATAATTGTTTATATAAATAATTATTATATAAATTATTATAATTATTTGAATAAAAATTTATGTTTATTTATTCATTATAAATAAATTTTTTAGTGTAATAATTTTCACTATTTTTAATTGAAGAGTTTAAAATTTTATTATATCATAAAATCATAATTACTTTTAAAAAAATGTTCTTCAAGCCTCAAACTTAAAATAGTTCTTTATTATTTCTATTCTTTTTTTTATTTTTTTTAACAATTTAAAGGTAATTATGTAAAATTCATATTTTATATGAAAAAGATACAAAGAAAAAGAAATTGGCAAAATTAATTTTTGAAACATGCATTGAAAGTTTCAAATATCTAAATGATTTTTTTTTCATTTTACATCAAAAAAATTTGTAAGAGTAATGTAAGTTCGTTGGTGTTCAGGTATGCAACTAATTCATTGTTTCATCTTGTTGCATGAATTTAGTTTCGTGATTATTTTTACATTGCTTTGGCTAAAATTTATTAATTGATAATTTCAAAAGTTTAATTGGAATGGATTTAAAATTTTGGCACGTGGTAGTGCAAAATTATTATAGTGGATTAAGAAATGATTTTGAATAGAAATACAAAAAGTTATATACTATTTGCATGATTGGATTTTCTAGTCAAAGAAGAATAGTGGAAAAGTATAAGACTTTTATAATAAAATTACTATTTTGATATAAAAATAAAATTTTTTATTGAAATGTGTTACATGATGGCCATAAGTTTAAATCAAATGATAGTATTTTATGCGTAATGATTCTTTGGAATCATATTTCATGATTTACTTTTATATGATGATCTGGATATAAGCATATTGATCACAAAATTATTGTGAAAGCATTTAAAATTAGAGGTTTTCAATAGCTATGAACTTAGAATTGGCAATTGGGCAATTAATATATGTATTGACAACTCATGGATAACATTCGAGATAGTTGGTTTTCACTAAACAAGATAGTCTCATTAGCCAAATTTACATGATTTAAGGTATGATATAGATTATTGTGGTTGGCTTAGAATAGCCATAAGGTAAAATTGATGCCACAATCTTGATCATGTTATGCTAATTTTTGGTTATGTACATGGTCTAATTCATGGCTTAGACAAATAATTTATTATGTATGGTCTTATTAAAAGTTTCAAATATAATGAAAATTTAAAAGTATATTTATTTTGAAAGCCATGAGTGATTCAAAGATTTTGTGAATATGAAAACTTTTATAATAGTAAAATGAATGCTATTCAATCCATTTGAGTGATGGAAATGGTTTTGTTCATTGTAATAAAGTTATTAATAGTGCTTATGATGAAATAAATTTATATAAGTATTCATGAGTTGGCATGAAAGTCTCAAAAGAAGATTATAGAATCATAAGTTTACTAAAAGAAAAAAAAAATTTTTTGAGAGATATTATATTTGACATCATTCTTATTGATGAATACTCTCATATTGAGTTTAAATAAAAGTTTTGGAATTTTTATGAGAAGAAAATATTAAGATATGGAATATTAGCTAGTTTTCTTTCACTAAGGGTGGACTTAGAGATTTCCCACTTAAATAAATAAAAAAACCACCAAATAGTTAAAAGATAAATGAAATGACAACTTAATTAAGTATATATGATATTTTGATAATTGAACATGACATTCTTTTATAAGAGAATGCATATTTGCACATGGTAAGGGTGATAAGAACCAAAAGAAATAAAGATTGCCACTACAATGTTATAAGATTTTAGTATAATTTTATGAGCAAATAATATAAGCTAATAAGTTTAGTACATTTATTAAAGTAAAATCATAAAAAAATCCTTACATATCTTAAAAAGGACTAAAATGATTTGATTTATTCATTGAATTTATTCAATTGTACTAGAACTATAATTGTGTTACAAAGGTATAAAAGTATGAAAATAGAATAGTTAAAATTTATGAGTATAAAGTTGTGGTCACAACCAATACCAATTATTTCTTAAAATAACAAGAATGAGGCAAGAATGTTTAAAGCATATAAATGATATGTAAAAGGAAAATTTTGGACATGTTAGCTATGAAGTGATTATATTAAAGATTCAATCTCAAGTGAGGGTAATTACAATAAAGAAAATTAATTTTCAAAATATTTGGTTAGTAGTATTACAAGTAGAATGGGTTTAAACCCTTACTATTAGACATCAATAATAGGAATCCAACTTTAAATTAGTAATATCTAATTGCAAAGTTTGATGGATAAAAACAAATTATTGTTATGTGTTTGTTAAACATTAGTAAAACCTATTTAAATTTTAGTGACTAGAGTGGTCCATTGCGTAGAAAGAATGAGTTTCTATATTTTTAATGGAGTTTATTATTTAAATATCTAAAATAATAAAGATAAAATATAAACTCTACCTATATAAATATAGAAGTGGTGTTGCTTTAACGGAAAGAATTGCGATCTCTTTTATAAATATCTATGAATAAGATAAACACATGATCATAATAATACTAAAATAGTTATAAACCTTTGACAGAAGAATAAATAAGTATTATGTGTATTATATCTTTAATTCTAATACTAGAAATTAAGGTTTAATTTGTAGATACCATTAGCTTTATTAGAATTCTAAAGTATATATACTAATTGAAAATTTAAATCAAAAGATACATTTTTGTATTCATAATATTTATTTGTGTGAAAGATTAAAGAATGAGCATTAACATTCTTAACTAGTGAAGGATTGTTGTTAGTTTATAATGTAGTGCATCTCACATTAGATAAAAAGAGTTAATTATTGGTGAATAAACTTAAATATTAATTTTATTCATATTCTAAATAATTATATTTGAATAGAAATAATTATTATATAATAATGATTATAACTATTTGAATATAAATAGTTGATTGTTCATACAAGTAATGATTATACAAATTATTATAATTGTTTAAATAAAAATTTATGTTTATTCATTCATTATAAATAGATATTTCAATATAATCATTTTTATTACTTTTGATCGGAGAGTTTGAGATTTTATTGTATTTTAAAGATATAATTATCTTTATGAGAGTGTTTTTCATGCCTTAAAATCAAAATTATTTTTTATTATTTCTATTATTTTATTTATTTTTTCTAATAGTAGGTAGCAAGCTCGAGATTAGTTGAGTTAGTTCAAATTATTTTGAATAAGGTGATTTGCGAAAAGACAAATTTTATTAGAAATATTCACAAGCAATGGTGTTGAATTAAATCAAGTTTAATTGATTTGTTTGTGTTTAAACAATAAAGTTTGAAAGAATAAAATAAGTTTTGAAATGAAAGCAGATTCCACTACTGCCACCATTTAAACCAATGAAGCAAATGATTGACCCATCATATCATCCAACAAATAAAACAAAAAAATCCAAAAGTTTCGAATTCACAGCTAATAACATTGATTCAATTGGCATTGACATAATAAGAATATTTCGTCTATTAAGGAGGATTCCCCGAATACCTAAAATAGAAATGATCATCGAAAATGTGAAATATTTGATAAGATCCGTTTCGGGAACGTGGAATGGTTGAGAAATTCAAATGTTATAACTCGCATGAAAGTCGATCTATTACGACCGGAAATCAATAAAAAAAAAAAAAGTGTTAGGCGCTCCCGTGGTTCGCGAGAAGGAAAAAGGACTCATCCTTTGTTACATCTGGCACGAGATGATAAAGAGAGAGCTTCGTCTATCGATGAACAGCGGAATGCTTTTTCTCTCTCTCCCTTCCTATCAGTGAGCTGCAATCCGTTTGTTTGAAATTTTTTCGTTCGTATACCAAACTCTCCCAGCATGCCTGATTACACAAAAGGTTAAAAAAAAAGGAAAAAAAAAAAAAAGAAAAGCAAGATGGAAGAGGGAAAGACAGAAAGAACTCTATAGGTATACGAAGAGCAGTAAATGGAAGAATAGTGCTCGATGTATTTAGATAGAACATTGTTGAAAGCACGTTGCCTCCCCAGTTTCCATTTTGATCAAATATAATAATGGACTTGAATCAGTGATTGGTTAAAGTCATAAAGGTTTTGGGTGTGATATAATGACTTTGGGTGAAAGAAAGCTTATGTTTAATATCTCAGCTTCCCATAACTCAAGTCTACAAAACAAGACTTTTAGCCTTGCATCTTTTATTAGAAGGCTATGTATCTAATTTTATTTTATTATATTATTTGCTGCCACTGCATCAGTTGCTTCAATTCTCTCTCTCTCTCTCTCTCTCTCTCTCTCTCTCTCTCTCTCTCTCTCTCTTTTGCTCTACAATTACCTCTATTGTTTAACTCGATAATGTTTTTACAAAATTTAAGACCTTCCTCCCTCATGCCTAGTGATTTATGTACTTTAGTTTGTTCTAACTATTGGTTTAATTGCCCAAAACTAGTGTCTGCATAGCGAAAGTGCCTATTTTGTGAAAATTATTAGGTTAAAAGCTTTCAATCCAATCACACAAGTGAAAGTAAAATCAAATAATAAATCAAACACATAAGAGACAACAATTTAATGTGGTTAAGTTTAATCAACCTACGTCTAGGGATAAGAAACAAAATTCACTAGTTGTAAAAAATTACAAACATATATCAAATTATCAACCTCACTCAACAATCAATACTTATAAGATACTATCAATCTTCTCTAGTCCGATGGAGTATTCTCAACCCAAACAAACACAAACCCAAACCCTTGTGCACCATTTCAACATAATTAAACACATACCCATATGCTCCCATATATCATACTTATGTGGACCCTATCAGTCTCTTCTAGTACATCATACCTATGTGGACCTTCTCAGTTTTCTCTAGTCCACTCACAAATAAACATACACACCCATAAGACGTAAAGCCTTAATACTCCTGTGGGGCGTCTATCTCACAAAATCCTACAACTCTCTTATATCTTTTTTTCATACCTAACATTGTATAGACTTTACTTATTTATAACCATACAAACTTGCCCATTAATAATCCCTCTCTTCTTAGAATTCTTCTCTTATAAGTCAAACATGCCTATTAAGAATCTTTTTTCTCTTAGAATTCTTCTCTTATAAGTCAAACTTACCTATTAAGAATCTCCTTTCTCTTAGAATTCTTTTTTTACAATTCTTCTTATCCATCAAGCAATATCTAACAAATCTCAAATAAATCCCAAACAAATCTCTTATGGGATTTGAGTCAATATTCCCAATAATCTCCACCTTGACTTAAATTTCATCAATCGTCTATCTTCCTACTAGACATGCTTGGCTCCACCTATAATAAAAGTCTCACAATCATCTTCTCTTCTCTTGTGTCTTCACGCTTCATACAAACCAATCCTTAATCTTCAAAACTTAAACTTGAACTCTTCTCTTAAATCGAGCTCTTCTGGACTCGCTTCTTCCCATGTCTTAAACCATGCACTTCCCATATCTTAAATCTTTAGCTCTTCCCACATCTCGAACTTTTAGCTCTTCCCACATCTCAAACTTTAAGCTCTTCCACGTCTCAAACTTTCGGTTTTTTTCACATCTTGAATCTTCAACTCTTCTCACGTTTCGAACCTTCATCTCTGATACCACTTGTTAGGGATCACCACAGCTCTGATATCATTTGTTGGGCTAAAAACCTCCAATTCAATCACACCAGCGGAAGCAAAATCAAACAATAAATTAAACATACAAGAGATAATAATTTAACGTGATTCGACCTAACTAACCTACATCTACGGATGAGAAACAAGATCTACTAATTGTAGAGAATTACAAACTTACATCAAATCATCAACTTCACTTAACAATCAATACTTATAAGATACTATCAATCTCCTCTAGTCTTTTGGAGTATTCTCAACCCAAACAAACACAAATCTAAACCCTTGTGCACGCTTTCAACATAACCAAACACATATCCATATGCTCTCATACATCATACTTATGTGGACTCTCTCAGTCTCTTCTAGTTCACTCACAAATAAACATACACACCCATAAGACGTAGAGTCCCAATACTCCTATGGAGTGTCTATCCCACAAAATCTTATAACTTTCTTACATATTTTTCTCATACCTAACATTGTAGAGACTTCATATATTTATAACCATACAAACTTATCCATTAAGAATATTTTTTCTCTTAAAATTTTTCTCTTATCTCTTAGAATTTTTCTCTTACAAGTTAAATTTACCTATTAAAAATATTTTTTCTTTTAAAATTCTTCTTTTATAAGTCTTGTTGTCCATCAAATAATATCAAACAAATTTTTAACAAATTTCAAAAATATTTTTTATAAGATTTGAGTTAATATTCTCGATAAAAATGAACTCCTGTTGTTCGAGCATACCATTTTCTAACTCGTATAGGTTCTCACATGTGTTTGGTGGCCTTGATGGGAAATTAAAATATGGGGATATATTGTGGTTGGTTCCTGAAGGTACTAAATTCCTTTCAACTAGTATAATTGTGCCAGCTGGCTCTGAGGAAAGCAATGCGATAGATAGAACACGGGCTTCTTTGTACCGCAAGAAGTGGCCCTTTTTCTTCAGCACATGCATTTGGTTTTTTCTCTTCAAATTGCATCTTCAATTTCATACATAATAATAACATGTTTAAAATGCATTTGGCTTTGTCCCCTTATACAGGACCCAATTGCAAAGCTTTTTATCGAGTCCCCACCAAAAAATCTTCCTGATAGTAAGGGCATGGCAACCGGAAGTATTAATATCCAATCTAATTGCAAGGTATTGGTGCAAATTTATCTGGCAATGCTCCACTCCTTTATTTTCTTCATTCCTTTATTTATTTATTTTTTAAAAATCCAGTTGGTCTTGGAGCTCATGGAACTTTCTTCGATTCAATTTGAAAAATCTTATCTTCCAAGGTCATGATAAACTTTTAATCTCATTTCCCGCATTAAACAGCATGACTTGGATGCAAATTAAACAACTTGAGTCAAAATAAATATTCACGATTAAATAAAATTGATCTTGTGGAATAATGAAGTTGTTTTTAGGAGAAATCTTTATCGGAATCACTATGGAGTATTGCTGGTACAAGGCTGCTAGGTTTGAAACTTTTAAACAAATTTATTGGCCATTTAATAGATTAAAGAAAGTTCAAATTTAAATGAGTTGACATCTTCAAAGTCCTATGGATTTGTTCAATGTCCATTGTAGACATAGGGTAATTTCCATTGATGTTGCTCCAGCCGCCGCTAGTTTGGCACTATCTAATGATTTCCTCTTATCTTCCACAGCAAAGCCAAAGAGAAAAAAGTGCCATCGCACAATTGCAGAGAAGGTTAGGAATTTCTGTTTCACTCTCTGGTCCTGGGCTTCAGATAATAGATGAGTCTGAAGATAAAGAATTCATTGAACTAGGATCGAGTTTGATTGGAGTAAAAGTTTCTAATAATGAGCAGGATTTACTCACTCAGGTATCTTTGAATTTTTTATTGTTTTGATTTTGGGTATTTTTCTGTTAATAATATTTCTTATGGTGGAATAAACAGACAATTAAGGTCCTCCGTGATCAATGGCGCAAATCTAAACCAAGTTCAATACCACTGAAGGAGCTTGGACCTTTGCTTGGTGATTATCAACGGTTGATTACATCATCTGTAAGACTTTAAGTTAGCTTAATTGTATGTTCAGTACCACTTAATAGTTTCTAAAGAAAAGCAATTTCCTTGCTTATTTCTCCAAGTCCCAGTTCAATTTTCAACTCAGCTTGTTTGATGCTTTTGGGTTTTTTTTTTTTTTTTTTTTTTCCAATTATTTTTAAAGTTTGGCCTTTTCAAGTTTTATAGCAAAATTACCAGCCTATTATACTCCAGATGGTCTGCAACTCATCTTGGGGATATTATCAAGTAATGGGTCTGTTGATGCAGAATATGAGTTCAAATCATAGACAAGAACAGAAAGGTTAGGTATTATTTTTCAGATGGTGGAGAATAAAATGAAAAATTGATGATAATTATGAAACTGAAAAACAGATAAAGGGGTAATAAAAGAGCTACTTTTCTCTAATGCTATGTCAAAAGAGAAAGAATAGTAAACAGTATTAGAGGTTAGCAGGCTACATACGGGTAGATTGAAGAAGATTGGTGTGGAGATGTTAAACTAGGTGGAATGGTGAAATGAGTGGAATTTGAAGTTGTGAAGAGAACAGAGTATAGAGCCAAGATGCTTGGGAAGTCACAACGTTGATTCCATGATGTAGATGATTTTGGTTTTTCATTTGTTTTTTAAATTTACATGTTATAAACATCCAATTTAATTAAATAAGATATTAACAGAGATCGAATCTCTATTTAGTAGAGGCTTGGTGTAGATCCATTTAAATCAATCAACATTATTAGAGGCTTAAAGTGAATAAAGATGTAGAATAAACTCCTCACCAAACATATGTAGGATAATGCTAGAGTAGATGCTAAGATTTTTTGTAACATCTCTTTACTTCTTCTATGGTCATTCTCTAGATAGAAGATTATTTCTATTTCTCTTCGTTGCTATCATAAGGGATTTTTATAGCATGAATAATGACAATTGTTAAAATTCCTAAAATGTATATTTAATGGATACAACCAGGCCTCTATTAGGGAAAAAAAGCAAGAACATATGGATTTGAATTTGGTTGTATTTACAGCTGCATTTAGTAGAGAGATAATAATATCAATAAGAAGTAAAAATGCTGTGCAATAATTAGTCCGAAAATTATACACTGAAAGGGACACCCAATGGTTAAGAATTTGAAACTCCAATCTAAAGGTTTTAGGTGCCATTCATGGGACGAGTGCAGTAGGATATATGGGATGAGAGAGGCCTATCTCCCATTTGTAGCCCAAGAATCATGTTTGCCAAGATTATTTAATCTGAAAGTTACAATCATGTGATATTAGTGAAGCTTGTCTATACTAAACAATGATATGGAGTAATAGTTATCATATCCTGTTCTCAGTCCTGTGTACACCTAACATAATGTGGGATAAGAACTATCAACATTATCGTCAAATTTTCTAATCTAAACTTCTTGTATCCTCTTCGCATCCAGTGTGTCAAGTGCCCCCATATATTTTTCACGTACATGCAAATTCAAATTCTGTTTGAACCTGTTAAATTGTTTGACAGAAATGTATAATGTTTTTTCAAATTTTGCATATAGGTGAAAAATCTCCAATAGTTAACTGTAAACTTAAGAACCGTGATGCATCTGTTAGTTGTTTAATTACTCTGAAATGTCTTCAATGTAAATCAATCTGGTAGTCATAGCCCTAAATTAGGACAATCTCTTTGTTAATGTGTTTAAATCATTTTGTATTTTGTAGTCATTCAATAATGGGACAAATGCGACAAAGTTTTGACTTTGATTTTTCATTTTTCTAGTTTTTAGACCTCGATATGTTACTCATTTACTTTTCATGTTAATATCTCTTTTTTGTTTATCAAGATTAAATAAATGAAATACAGATATGTGTAAGTCTCTATCGAATGTCCTACTTGTTTTTATTCTTCTTTATGTTTCTAACTATAAGTTATCTACTTTGTGACTTTCTGATTGTTCACATGGTAGAGCAAATAGTGGCTTGGATTTTCAGTCCATTGAGTCATGTTTAAGAGGAAAAGAAGCTTACAAGTTTTATCACTTGAAAAATGTTTCTCAGGTATGATTCACATAGATGTATATCCAGCACAGTATTTCTCGTTTATGGCTGCTTTTGCACTAATTCTTGAGGATCTTAAACTGCTTTCGGTTTTCTACACAATAAAGGAAAGCAAAATTGTCTTCTTGCAATTGTTGTCAAATAATATAAACATCATCTCCTGCTTGGGGTTCATTATTTTACATGCAATGATTACAGCTTGAAATTTTGGAGTTGCCAGTTATGTGGCTTAAATTATGTGTATGGCTGACTGATCAAAAGCATGGTATTACTTTTTGCATTTGAAACATTAGCCTAACCCTGAACATGGTCCTATCAGTTGACTCAGTTTGTGAAACATGCTCAATCAGCAATTGAGTATTCTTGTACAATTATTTTAGAGCATCTAATGACGTTTATGTCACTTTCTCAAGTAATAAATGATCTAACTCAATTATTGAAATTACTTTCCACTTAACTGCACTCATATCTTATGCGTTGTTCTTCATGCATTAAACCATATTTATTTACTACATCATCCATCGACATCCCTTCCAATTTCTTTGTTCTCTTAATTGTCATGTAAGAATGGATGATATTCCAAAACTGCTAGAAGAATACAAAAAGATTCTACCTGAGTAGAATACCTGTGGCCAAAGAACTGGATTGGATGTATACTGAGATTCTTTTCTCTATCCTCACGAGAAAAATTTATCATGGTTTTCTTATGCCTAGTACTGGCTTTAAGCCTTGTCCATTTTTCATGCAAAGCTAGTTCAAATAATATGCTTATCCATGTTAAAGACACAGGAAACCTTAATATGTTTCTATGCACTACAGACCATGCTTGTTGGTTTATTTGTAATATTTACAATATTGTGTCCTTTACGACTTATTACACGTATAGATTTGAGCTGTATTTTCTCTTCTTTGTCTTCCTTCAAACTTTACATCAAGCATGGAAGGTAAACCATTCCCCTTCATCTTTGGAACTGCACGATATATCAATAATCGTGAAACTATATGGCAAACGCCATACTGGAAATCGATGACGTTAGTTAGGGTTTCAACAACTGAGGAAATTGCTTAATTGTATTTGTTCATGTGGCAACATAAACACACAGCAATTGTAAGCCTTTTTGTAAATAATATTTGAGATGTTGAGAATGAAAATGTTTGTATAACTATTAGATGTAGCAATTCGAATATATGTGTTGTGTTTATTTTGTGTTAAATACTTGTAAAATATAAAAATTATGTCAAATTGTTGTCAACATGTTAAACATGAATCACATTTTTTAAAATTTTGTCAAAACTCGTACATATTTTATTAAAATTTTAAATTATGTCGTTTTTGTAATTTTTTAATATCATATTCATATTGTAATTAAAATTATTTAATTAATTAGTATGCTCATGTCAATGCCACTTTACTCAATATCGGAATGATGCTAAAGATATGAAAGATATTTTCAGGGTCGAGTCATTTGACCATAATTATTAGGAGGACAATGGTGGTCGGAAGATAGAGTGCTGATAATGGGGTGGAATTTGGAAGCCTAGTGCAGCTTGTTCACTACTTATTGAGCTGCATTTATCATTTGCTATTTTACTTGGTTTCAAGAGTCCAATTTCTCATTACACTCAGGGACCTTATAGGCCTAGCATCAAAAACCGAATGATTCCTGCCAATAATCTGAGAAAAACTGATTCATAGGAAGCAATCCTTTGGTGAGAATATGCAATTAAGATGATTATATTCTATGCAATCCTTTGGTGAGAATATGCTGTCATTACAACAACACTGTCACAAAATAATTATTCGAAGAGTAAGAAAGTGCAATTTTCTAAGCTAAAGATGAAATAATTCTATAAAAGGTTATTGCGCTACTTGCGTCTCAAATTATATGACTTTTTGCAATTTGATATTTATAAAAAAGTTTAAATTTTATTTTCATAAAAAAATTTTGTACCATACATTAATTTTGTTACCGATAAGTTAAGATGACACATTGTTATTAATCAATATTTTGATTAATAGCATTAATATGTAAAATGCTTGACAGAAATAAAATTCAATTACCTAATTCCTATAAGTACCAAATCCTTCAAAGTAGTATACCTTAGAGACCAAATTACATGTTCATCTTTTTGTAAAGACCAAGGGAGTTTGAAATGTAGAGGATAGACGTAAAGTAACTTAAAACTCTATGAAAGTAAATATCCAAAATACAATTACACAAGCTTAATAGCCTTAGAGTAAGGACATCTACTGTATTGATTCTATGTTCTTACTGAGCTCCTCCAGCTTCTTCATTCTTAGTTTCTCACTTTCAGTCATCATCTGTTGAGAAAAAATAGCCAAAAATGTACTTTAAAAAAAATGGCAGGAAGTAAAGGTAAGGAAAAAGGAAATATGAATGTTTGTCACCTCAATTAGAGTAGTAACCAGTTGTGCCTTTTCTTTGTTCTTTTCATTGAAAGATTCCAGGGCTTCTTTGTATTCTTTCTCCTGTATCCAAGCAGATATATCCAAATTGAGCAGTGCATTTGAATCTTCATGGTTTTGGGTTGTAGTATTAAAATGACAGCTCTAGTTTTAGTGGAAAAAAAAAAAATACAGAAGGCAAATAAAGCACCTTCTTCTGGCAGCTCTGTCCAAGAGGCTTTAGCTCCCTGTTAACCATGTCAATCTTCTTTCTTACCATAGAAACTTCCTTCCTTAAAGGATCAGACAGCACTTCAAGTTCCTATCATATTCGGACACCAAATGAAAATGAGATCATTTTTGTTACATTTTCAAGAAAATACTTTGTCTGGCAATTTTATGCGTTGCACAATAATATACGAAAATAATATAAAAAAATTGACATATTTAAAATTTTTGTAAAAATTATATGTGAACTTGGTAAAAATGAAAAAAAAAATTGTTTTCTATTTAGCTTATTGATGCTTGTGATATATTGATTTTCATGCTTTATACATGTTAGATTAAAAATAAATACATGAAAACATCAATTGCTTAGGATGCATTCCTGAAAATGGGGTCTTGGATTTTTTTTTTTTCAATTGTGGAACTTACTTCCCAAATCGTTGACAAACGCCTTGTTTCCTCTTCAGCACGACCAAGCTGGAGTTCAACTTTCTCTTTGACTTCCATCTTTTTCCTTTCAATCTCCTCTTCCTTAGCTTGAATTGTGGAGATTGCCAATCTTGAAATCTCCTCATCCTCAACATTTTCTTCCATTGACAGCCTCCCACTACTTCCCAAGTTCTTTATTTTCTGCATAATTATCCCAACAGCAAGCAATTTGTAGCAGCATCTAGCCCACTTCAACAGGGCTCATCTCTTCCCCTTTTTGTATCCACCAATCCCCTTTCTTGTTTTTGCTTTTGCTTTAAAACTCTCTTTCAAGGTCACTTGCTTCCTTTTGACTAAATTCTAAAGAAAGCAAGGGAATCCCAAGGCTACTGCTTTCCTTTGACAATATCTCTACTCAAACTTTTATGGATGGTATGCCCACAATTACCCAAAAAAGATCTTTTGATAAACATTTATAAGACTTAGGCAAATTTCAGGCTCTTGTATTTCTAGCTATATATCTTCAACACCAAAATAAGCTAAATTTCACTGCTAAAGAAAAATTAGTGGTTACTCATCTTTGGTCATTTATAAGGCGGAAATGTCCAAAGTGGAGTAACAGCTTATTCAAGAAATGTACATATATATGCAAATAGAAGTGGGCAATAAGTTGCTTAAGTCAAAAGAACTGTATCACGTGAAACCACATGGTTGGATGGATTACACTGATATATTTAGTTGGCTCACCTACGTTTCTTTTGTCTCGATTGGTAAGGGAGTTATATATTTTTTTAATTTTTATTTTTCTACATGTGATTTTAGATTTCATATATAATCAAATGTAATTTTTTTTTCATTTCATAAATTTCACACCTCTCGTATTAATATTTAAATTCAAAACTTCCAAGTTAGAATGTCAATTTTTTTTTTATATTAAAAAGTTTAAGATGAGAAGTTTTTTCATATCATGGCCAAAGCAAATTATAGGCTTAGAGATGACTTTTATTGGATTTACAGATCATTCATGGTGGAAAAATACTTAGTTATAGCTGATTGTAATTTACATATATTTGTATCCTTAGAATTTTATATCCTTAGAATTAAAGATAAAAAATTAAGATAGACTATCTCTTAATTATAGGGATCAATTTATGAAAATTTAATTTTCCAATTTACTCTCTAGTTAATTATATATAAACTTAAAATACTTATATAATTCTAAAGACAAGTTTTTCTATATACTCTCAAGGGGTGTTTGATTCATGGAATCTTAGATTTTGAGAAAGAAACTGGTTTATGGGAAAGTGTAGATTCTTGGGAAATAGTGATTCTTCTTGTCACGGGAATGTTGGATTTTTGTGTTTGGTTTGCGAAATCTCATATTACATAATAAAAACTTTTTATTAAAAGGTCCTTTATTACATGTGAAAAACACGAGACAAACATTTCAACTTCCAATTATGATATTAAAATTAAACATGTGACAACTATTAAACAATAAAAATAAAGAAGGTTTTCATTTTTATTATGTTAAAAATAAAATGGTATATTATGAACAAAATAAAATAAAATAAACTTCAAAAACAATGTTTTTAAACTTATAAACATAATCATTAACCTAGTAAAAAAATTATTATAAACAACCATGACATTTATGTTATATAAACACAGTGTTTGATAAAGAACCAAGCACTACGCATTAGTTTATAAACAAGCACACAAACACCACATTTTGGCTTTATAAATATAGTCTTTTAATTAAACACGACATTTGTATAATTATAAATGCAGTATTTGACAATTAAACAAGCACAACATTTGGAAATTATAAACGCAATCTATGTACAAAGACGGCATTTTTTGCCATTATAAACGTAGTGTTTGACAAATCATAAAGAATTTTTTTATTTAACAAGCACGGCATTTATTAAATGATAAATGCAATGTTTAATATTCTTTATAAACCTTTTTTCCCCAAAATCAGATTACAAGTCTGTCGACATCTCTCGATATTCATACCCTAAACCTTACGTTATCAAATCATAATCGTTGCCTCCATCCTTGCCATCATTGCTATCATCATTGCCATCATTATCATTGCCATCGTTTTAGGTTACAAATCATTTGGACATTGTTCTTATTTTATGAAACAAAGTAAATAATATGGTACATAAAGGTAGCTTTGTAAACAATGTAAATAAACATTATTCTTATTTATTTGTATAGATAAATTAATATAATGGATTCTCAAGAACACATGTCTACCTTAATAGAATATGGAATGCAATTCATTGCTTGGTTGATGTATATTTGTTATGCAATTACACTGTCTATTGATTATGGAATGCAATTCATTGCTCGGTTGATGTCTATTTGTTATGCAATTATATTACACTATCTATAGATTATGAAATGCAATTACATTGCTTATGGAATGCAATTACATTACTTGGTTGATGTCTATTTGTTATGTGATTACATTACACTGTCTATTGATTATGTAATGCAATTACATTGCTCGGTTGATGTCTATTTTGCAGCAAATGATGACATTTTGATATCCCAATAATATAGGTAGACATCATGCAATAAATGCATATCACATTAAAAACAAATAAAGATGAACCAATAATTAGTCAAGGAAGAAAACCAATAGACATAGTAACAAAACAAATATTATTACAAACAACAATATACTACATTGTTTACTTAAAAAAAATAAGAAAGCAAATATAAAACAAATGTAGAAAATAAATAGTACATTCAATATATTTTACACATAACAATGTCAGTAATCAAATAGAAAAAAATAAAACAATTTGTCCTTAACTACTGGATTACAACCTATTCATGAATATCTTTTATGCTAGCTTATCTCTAAACTCGGTTTAAGCATCACTTGGCACAGCATGCCTAATCAAATCTTAATGATTATGTCATTTTACTTGGCCATTACTCACTTTAATAACATCACATTCAATAAGGTCAATTAACATCTCAAACCTAATAAAATTATGGAGAAAACAGCAAGCAAAAATGATTCTACACTGTGTTTTAATTAGATAAATGATTTTTTCCTTAAAATTACCCATCTAGTTTTCAATATACCAAAATATCTCTCAATATAATTTCTTGCTTGAGAGTGTTTCATATTAAAGTATTCTTAAGGTGTTGTAGGTTGGTGTCCTAGCCTCTAATAATTCAAGTGGTATCTTTAACCTCTATAAGGTGCCAAAAAACTTCGTTATTTATGTATCCAGCATCACACAAACAATAAAAATCTAATGTAGTGTTACAACATTAATAGACATTTAAAACGTGTTCCATGGCATAACTAAAACTAAAATATTAAAGTTGATACCTTGTGGGATCCTTAAACTATTTCTATGTGTAATGGCATCTTTGAACACTCTGCCATCTGTTGTAAAACCTTCCCAACCCAATAGAATATAAATGAATTGCATGTCTGGCATGAAACACTAAGAACATTGGTAGCAATTTTATTTTTTTTAGTCCTGTACCTAGGCTTGTTAATTGAGTCTACATTCACCCTTATGTATGTTTCATTTAAGACACCCAAACAACCTTAAATCCAGTAACTTTGATTAATACATAATACAAAATTGAGATTTATTAATATTTATTCAGAGTAAGCAATGATTAATGCATTGCCTTGAACCATTTCCATCTATTATCTGTTGAATTTTTGCTATCGGTTTTGTTTTTTTAAATAGGGGATGCAATTACATATGTCTAAATGCCTTTAATCTGCATTCTATTTAAAGCAATTGACATAATTTTACAGAAACTCTCATATCCATTTTACAATTATCTACATTCTACATATCAGTCTTAAAGACCATTTTGTTAAGTTCAATGACCTAATCTGAAGCTTATTAAGAGTTTCATCTGTATAAGAAATTTTACGTCTTTTTTAAGTTTCATAGCAATTAATGTCATATCAACAATAAGTAACAATTGAAGAATACTCTCTATCTGGTTCATTTGCAAACTAAGCACCATTAAAAATTGCATCTTTTTTTGTATTGATAAATAAGTCATAACTGTTTACAAAAACTATTTTTGTTAATATTGAAAACATTTATGGAAAGTAATAATGTACATTTGGTAAAGCAAAATGTAAGCCAAATCTAATGAAAAATAAATATCATTTAAAACATTTGATTACATCAAGAAATAGCATAAAAACATTTGTAGATCAAGAACAAAAAACTAATTGCAAAAATACATATGATAGATCAACAACTTTTTAATCAAGATCTAACCCAATCTACCAATATAACAAGAAAATGTCTAACATAAACATTTAATACAGAATAGATCATACAAAATAGAGAGTGGACTAGCTTTATAATGTTGAAGATAAGTTCAAATGAATAGCATGAAGATGAAATCATAAAGTCAGAAGGTGATGTTGTGTGAAACAAAAAAAAAATGCAATCTAAGATTTGACTAGAGTTATGCGATGTTGTCTGAAAAGGAAATGTAGTTTATATCATGTTCAAATATTAATTTATTTTGTTATCTATTATTAATAACATTTTGCAAGTAAAAAACATGCTCAATGTTAGTTACTATGTTTTCAGGTGATCAATTACTATGTTTATCAATGACTAAGTTTCTGTAATAAGAAATGTAGTTATTGATATTGAGAAAGTTTTATACTTATCAATACTACATTTTTTACATAAAAAATGTAGTTAAAAATACCTTAAATATTCTATTATAAATATTATATCTACTAGACATTTCCATGCTAAGAAACGTTGTTAATATTGAAAACATTACATTTATATTGTTATTTTTTTTAAATGATCAACTACATTTCATATGTAAAAATGTAGTTATTATAAAAATAAAAACCTACTGTTTATCAATGACTACATTTACATAACAAAAAACGTAGTTATTAATATATAAAAAATTTTCTATTTATCAAATACTACGTTTTTTTTTTTTACATAAAAAACTCAGTTAAAAATATATCAATATTTTATTATAATATTATATCTAGTACTACGTTTCCAAACTAAAATGTTGTTAATATTGAAAATATCTAATTTATTTTTTTATTATTATAATTAATCAATTACAATTCATATCTTAAAAACATAGTGTTTCTAAAATTAAAAAAATTTAAAATCCTAAATTTATAGTAATCTACTATGTTTGTTCTTTTAAAAACATTATTTTTATTATATGTAATCACTTATGTGTCCACTCATTGCCAGATGTTTAATCATATGGCTAGGAATGCATCTTTGCCCAAATGTATGATTAGGAATACAGCTTTTTGTGTCAAAATAGGACTCAATTTATCATGCAATTACATTGATTTTCAAGGGTAAAATAGACTAAAAAAATTTATTATTGAGCTCAAGAGTGGGACATAATTTACTTTCCTTTAAGAATCTTAAAAAACCTCAAGGAAAAGTGGGTTTTTAATTTTGAGCTA